TTCAATTTCTCCAGCATTAGGAATTTGTGCAGGAATAACCTCAGGTTGGACTATAGGAGCTGCAGTCACAGCTTGGAATGTGTTATGATTAATAGGTTCAACGAAGGGGAGACAGTTAATTCCAGGATTGCTGTTCTGATTCTGAGTTTGGACTTGTTTGTTTAGGAAGCCAAGTTTGAAGGGAAATTCAGACTCGTTAAAGACAACATGCCGTGAGATATAAACTCTTCCACTTGAACTCAAACACTTGTAGCCTTTGTGAGTGTCCCCATAGCCAAGATAAACGCATTTTTGAGAGTGAAAAGCGAATTTATGTTTCTGATAGGGTCTAAGACACGGGAAGCACGCACAGCCGAAGATTTTAAGTTGTTTGAAGTCAAAATCTTTATCAAACAGAGCTTTGTAAGGTGACCTATGATCTAGAACTGAAGTGGGCAATCTGTTGATTAGATAGGTGGCTGCCTTGAAGGCTTCCCACCAATAGTACAGTGGCATTTGAGCCTGTGATAGGAGTGTTAAACCAGTCTCTGTGATATGTCTATGTTTGCGTTCAGCTCTACCGTTTTGGACAGATGTATAAGGGCAAGAGTGCCTAAGTTCTATACCACAATCAAGGGCCATTTTACTGAAATTTCTGAACTCACCCCCCCAATCAGATTGTAGAGTTTTAATTTTCCTATCTAGTTTGTTTTCAACAAGAGTTTTGAACTGAGAGAAAATGGACAAGGTTTCAGACTTGAGCTTCATGGGATAGATCCACGTATACCGGCTATAATCATCCACAAAAATCACATAATACCTAAAACCTGAAGTTGAATTTAAGGGGGCTGGTCCCCAGACGTCAGAGTGAATTAGTTCAAGTGGATTCCCAGCATGAGATGATGAAATATTAAAGGGGAGAGCATGAGACTTTCCAATTTTGCAGGAATCACAGAAAATAGAGACTTCATTAGATTTAAAATTTTTATTACACGATTTAAGGACTTGACTCAAGACATGATTTGAAGGGTGTCCAAGCCTTCTATGCCAAAGATCTAATTCTAAATCAGAAGTTTTACTGACTGAAGACAGATTGTCATGACTAGGCTGGGTTGTATAACACTGGTAGTTATTTTGGTGAAGTGACTCGAGTAAGGCATTTTCTGGCTTGAGTGTTTGCAACTGCAACTGGTATAGTCCGTCCTTAAGCATTCCCCGCAGCAAAATCTTCTTCGTCTGGAGATCCTTCACAAGACAGCAGTTAGCATAGAATTCCATGAAGATTCTGTTGTCATTAGTTAACTGTGAAACACTAACCAAGTTTCTTTTAATTGATGGAACATGCAGCAGTCTATTTAACTCAAGTGACTTGTTGTTTAGGGTGGAGATTATACCTTTACCAGTATGAGCAATATGAAGCCTATCACCATTACCAACAATCAGTTTTTCTTTCCCTTCATATTTTTTCATAGTATTCAATTTACCTTTGTCTGATGTCACGTGATTACTGGCACCAGAATCGACAAACCAGGCTGGATCTTCAAGAGTTCTTGATGAAGCTACATAGGCTGATGGAGTTGAATTGTGACTTTGCTGTCCAGAGTTAAGGATTTTTCCTCCCATATACCTCTCATCATACCTGTTGTAGCACCAGCTTGCAGAGTGGTTACTCAGGCCACAAATTTGACAAGAACCTCTGATTTCACTTTGCCTTCCAGTTATGCTTCTGCCTCTGCCTCTTGTTCTTCCTCTGAGACTTGCAAATCTGTCACCATTAGTGTTTCTAAAACCTCTGCCCGTGCCTGAATTAGTTCGATGTGCCAGCTGCACACTTGACTGGCTAACAATGAGTGTGGAGAAGTTATTTTTTACTTGGTTCAGGTGTTCAAGTCGACTCTCATAAGTCATAAGTATAGATGAAAGTTCATGCAAGGAGATGTTCTCTCTACTGGTTATCTGAACAACTATAGGTGTATATTCCTCATCAAGGCCCGATAAAACTTGTGAAATGAGATCATTTTGATCAATACTTTTACCTGCTATCTCCAAGTTATCAGCCAATTGTTTGATGGCAGTCAGATATTGATCCATTGTCATGGATCCTTTCCTGATTCTCTGAAGTTCACCAGTCAGGAACATCACACGTGATTTATTCAATATTCCAAAACTTTCCTCTACAGCTACACACAGTTTGTTCGAGGTGTTGCATCCCATCACTTTCATGGCAATTTCTGGAGTCATGGATGAGTATAACCATCCCATAAGCAGCTGGTCAGCTGAGTTCCATTTCTGAAATTCTGAGTTTTGTGTCATTTCTACTGCTTCTCCCTGGCCGATTGTTGTATGGGTAGTGAGAAATTCAGGTGGCCACTCCTTTGTCCCCATTAGATATCCTTCAAGATTATG